TGGACAATCGTTTCAAATTGCTTGCTGTTCAATGACGATGACAAGATATGACGCCGGATTCAGGCGGATACCGATCCGAATGCACTTCAATGTGACCTAGATACGGTAGGTGATTGGTCAACCCGAAATCTGTTACAGTTCAACGTGGACAAATGCAAGGTACTCTTCATACGACACCAGAGTACCTATTCCCACAGGCTAGGAGCGCAAGTACTGCAGCGATCATCCGTCGAACGCGACCTTGGCGTGCTGGTTCAGGATAACTTGGGTTGTTCCCAGCAATCCGCAAAGGCATCGAAAACTGGTAACCAACACGTCGGCTTGCTACGACGGGCGCTCGGGCAAGTAGGCATCTCTATTTTCAGACAGATGCTAAATGTGTATGTTCGCCCGCATGTCGAATACGCAATCCAAGCCTGGCAGCCATGGCTGAAGCACGACCTTACTGCGCTGGACCAACCACAACATCGGGCTTCTAAATACGTCATTGGAATACGCCACCTCTCATACGAACAGAGGCTGAAAGGTTTGGGAGTATTCAGCGGGCGGTATCGCCGACTACGAGGCGACTTGATTATGGCATGCTTGATTTCACACAATCCAAATCATGTGTGCCGCTCTTTACTGCAACTCAGCAGTAACACCAAACTTAGAGGCCACTGCTTGAAATTAGCAGAACAGTACAGCCGTCTGGGGTGCCGTAGAAACTTCTTTTCCATTCATGTGTGTCAACCATGGAATGGTCTCCCCAAATCTGTTGTTTCAGCATCCACGCAAGCCATATTTAAAAGTCGGTTGGATGACACTCTGCCGCCAATTACATTACGTTACTTGACGCTATTTTCCATCCTACTCCCGGGAAATAGCTTGTTTTTACTTGTTCCGACTATTGAACCTATGGAAACAATCGGAGTGCAGGGCTACTTCATTAGATACAATCTGTCCATCTTTTTGACAGTAGAACTACTAACTGCATTTATTCACTAACGTTATTCAGCGCAGGTTCAAGAAAATTACTTCGGATTTTGAAAGTATTATGTAAGTGATGTTTGTATGAGTTTCATTGTCATGTGAGTAGCCAAACAAATTTTGTGCAGTGATATCAGATGGTCACAAAAGTCACAGTTTCCCATGACAACAGACAGGGTTCAATCTTGTCCGTTGCTACGTCCGTAACCTGAATGGTAGTGGAAGACGGATCACGCTATATTGCAATTAGTTTGTAACTCATGACGGTCAAACGCTTTCACCTATGGTTTAGTGGAAGGAGCTGTTTGGTAGTGACGTAAGCCATTCCGGTTGAGGGACCATGTGCTTGGTTCCTGATCGAGTCGAAGTATACGCAACCATTCACATGGTCCCGATAGTGACGAACCGGCTGTCTACTAGTTCTCCGGACACCTACGACGCCAGTTAACTTGGAGGACTTTGGAAAGAAAGCTTCTAATAATTATCCGGAAAACATATTGGGTAAGTGGTCGAATTGGCCATTTCGATCGTGTTCTAAGCTCTATCCATGCCTAATTTACGAGAGCTTGGGATACAACCCTGAAAAGGACATGACTTCCTACTTTTCTTCCATTCGCGTTTCTTGTTTAGAGCGCCAGGGCGGTTGTGGATAGGTAGAGACTATTAAACCTTTCATATACTGACCGAATCTGTTGACCGGAGTGAGCTATTTTGTTTGTGTCCATGTGCCGACCAGTGAAGTCAACCTGAAGCAAAAGGCTGGAAAGTGTTTCTATCACTCAATCATCCTATGTAGCATGTGAAAATGATCATGCTACGTATTGCGATCCGCACAAACACATCCTTCTTAGGCAAACAGACATTTCTTACTTAAGTTAACTGCCTAGTAAAACTGTTCAACCCAACCGAACTTTATGACTCTTATACCGGCAAATGTTTGTTTACTATACTTGCGACGAATGGAAGGCATAGAGTATCGACAATGTTGCCTCCGGTAACCTCACGACTGGTATCAGTCACCTAACTTCGTTGTTGATCTATCACACAGTTTGGCCCCACGAACAGAGAGGGCTGTTGACCACATCCACATAAGAAACTTGGCCAGGGTCCAATGAAGCTGTTAACCGTCCCCGGTCTTCTGACTTATAGGACTGCTATAGGACTGAAGACCAGTGCTCATGTTGCAAATATTCCGGTTAAGAAAGCGATCGCTTCTTTCCCAGTAGCGCTGAGATAGATGCTTAAGGTTACGGTCACCTCGTAAAACTCTGTACGAGATATTGGTGAGGAGCAACGATATGACAAGTTATGCATAGCGAGAGCTGGTAACGACCTCATAGTTTTGGTTAAAGAAAGTTTTAGTTAAAGTTTTAGTTAAAGAAAGAGTAGAAAGGATGGGTTCTACTTTGACATTCAGGCCCCCACCTCAAATGGTACTAACTATTTGAGAAGGTACACACGGCCGAAATTAGTAGTTACTCGTTACATCAGAATCATTCTCACCTCATAAGGGAAAATTTGCATTTCGCTTGTTCAGTTGCCTCACGATTTTCAACACAGGTGTTTATAGCTTCACAATCGAGCCAGAAATCCAGCAGCCTTATGCCGCTTGTGTTAAGAAGGAAACAAATAAAGTCCGCCATTCCTTCTCGCTAAATCGGAAAGTAAAATATATCTAGAATGAGACTTTGCTTGAAATGAATCAAGTATGTTGCTAGACGGATAACTGAGTGCGAATCCGATAACCATGATGAGGCCTAAAACAGTCGGACAGAGAAGCTCAGTAATCCGAGTTACTTAAAAACGACAGAGTTCCCGCAGTGCGCTTAATGATAGAGAAATCGCTGCCAATGTCTCTTCCATTACACCAGTAAACAGTCAGGCTCTACAGACGGCTTCATTGAGGGGAATCGCTTGTATGCAGAAATAGTTTGAGTATTATGACCGCTATTTGCATTCGTGGTAATATATAAGGAAAATTCTTGATTAAATGGGGTTTTAGACTATATCCTTTAATAAAGATAATTCAAAGAGGAGACGACCCGCTTTGATTAGGATATGAGCGCCTGGTTAAAGCCTGCTATACCTGGCGACACAAAGGCAAGTATAAGTTGGGATGAAACCCAGCTGCAGTCACTCGGAGAATGTTGGATCCGGAGTATCCGGTGGTATCCCGCTCTATGCAACAATCATCAGTGGCCAAATGACAGAAATAAAAAAACAGAACTGTGGAGAGTTTATTTTATGTTCTTTTGATGAAGACGAAGCTCCAGATTCAGTGCAGGCTTCGTTGACACTTCAAGCTAGAAAGCGCTGTGGAAAATTTGTAAAGTGAAAAACAGCAACTTTTAAGACCAGAACGAACCTATTCCATCCAGTTGCCTTCCCATATATTCACCCGAAGACGCTCGGGTAATCCTGTTTGTTTGCGTCACCTGTTCCTCAACCAGCCTTCGCCGGAACCGACAATATACACGAGGCGCCTAGATGTTGTTACACACATGTTCTGAGAAAAAGTAAAACGGTAATATAGGCGGACATCCCCCATGGCTTCTGAGCAGATCTAAACCTTAGTGACACATACGCACTACCGTTGGATTTGTTTCAAACACTGAGGGGTTGACTGGCCAGCGTAGTAGCGAATAAAAGGCAAGCGTGCTCAAACGAAGCTGAATGGAATGCACAGGGTGCACAGCAAGGGCGAGCCGATGACGCCGAACAACAATGGCAAGGAGACAAACTTCTGAACAATATACGTGAGCATTTTGTTTCTGAAAAGCGGATCTTTGATCGGCGCACAGAATTTATTCTGAAAGCGTGGACTTGACAACAGCTCGCCACTCGTTGAGCGCAATAATGCCATAAGGACACAAATCACACCAGCGAGATCTAACGGTCTCCTGGAGTGGGTGATCAAGGTGATAATCATCCGTAAGCAACAGACGTAACATCGATCCTTGTCCACGGTGTCCTCGAAGCAACAGACGACAAGGTAACTAGAGACCAAATTGCAAGACTGAGACGAATGGTACATAATCCGTTAAGTGCACGTACTCAAAAAGCATTTGCCAATTCGGCATCAGGTTTACCGTTATCATCAAAGTACTAAGGGAGTGGTATCCGAATGATGGAAGTAACGCTGCAGTTAAAGCCCATGGAAGAAAAGGCGATCGGGATGTGGTTATAAAATGGGTAGAAAGGTGATGGACACCCGGTCACAAATAGACAAGGCAGCACTGAACAAGTAGGTCAAATGTGCAAACCCGTCAACGCGTGGCTCAGAACCGGGATACAGTCAAAACTCCCTGACAGCAGAAGGAGTGCCAGCTTATTAGCCACCCGCTGACAGAGAACACTCCACAAACCAAATCGAAATGGCCCTAGGGCTTGTGTCGGTGGCTCGACAAAAGACTAGTAGAAGTCGACCCCACAAGGGTCCGCATAAACTCTCACCCAAAAGCTGCATCCACGAACACGCTGTTAATCTCCGAGGTCCTCAGTTGCATGTATACCAACGTTCGAGGTCTTCTCGGTAAGTTAACCGAGCGTGGCACTTTTCAAATTTTAACTCCTTGGGAAATTTGTATGGTAAATGAAGCACGGCTGAATACGGAGATCATTGGTGCAGAGATTGCTCTGCCCGGCATATCTCTTCCAGCAGGAGAGCCCGGTAATTCAGAATTACTGAGCTGACCTGCACATCGATATTATCCATGATCAGAAATGTAAGTTGTCGATTCGCTTTGGTGTCGTCTCTACCGGAGGGGTGATGATGTGTGCTGAAGCAAGAGTTTACCGTCCTCCAAGTACCACTCAGGAATTGGAGCACCACACATTTTCGGTTATGAAGCGTGGCCTGCCATGGTTATACAGACACGTCCGGTGGTCGCGAGCTTTAACATACACCCGATCGAACGCCCTGCTGTTTCTGCGAACATATCCTCATCAGCACCATCCTCATCAATGCACGTTAGCCGAGGGTGAGTAACACACCTCAGCCAATGTATCACAATACAAAATATAAGGGAGTAAACATTACGGCCCACAAAAGTTACAAAGTAACAGTATCGTAAAATCACAGTACACATTGGGTTTAAGCTCGTCGTTGGAGGAGGAAGCAAAATGGGGGGAGGAGTACAAAGAGAATCAAGACACAAACGTCATTGAGATTGGCTCTTCGCCCTGTTAGGTAGTGCGCCCAAAGAAACGTGTTCATCGTCCTTGGGTCCCCAGTCCGGCAGAAGGGAAGTAACAACCGACACCAACTTCGAAGTGAGGGACTTCATTCCTCTTGACCAAGTCATCGTTTGGCCTCCCCACGTCTTTTGAAACCCAGACCCCGGGCGCGTAAACAACGTACGATGCGGGAGTCGGTGTGCTGGCATAAGCAACACGTGGTCCAGCCATCGGAGCCTGGTGCGTGATATAATGGTGTTGAGTGGTTCACTCACTCTTCCTGCACCAAATACGCGATGCCGAACGGGCACATTGCTCATGCGGTGTTCCCACCAAACGTGAGCTAAGTCGCGAAGGTAGCTATGACCCAACGTAACAAGTCTTCTTATGTCTATCGACTTGATGGACCAGGTTTCGCAACCGTATAGGAGGATTGAACGGAAGGCTATATTATGAACTCTGCATCTCAGGGCGAGAGTGACATTACGCCGGCGCTACAGGTGGCGGAGATTGGCAAAATCACCTCGAACTCTCGTTATACGGCTCGTGACGTCAACTTCAATCCCACGAGCGCTAATATAGCTACGCAGGTACTCGAATTTCTGATGAACTTCTAGCTGATCCTCACCAAGGATCAGCTCAGGAGGCAGTTCCTTCCAATCTTGGAGAAGGACTTTGCATTTTTGAGGATGAACAGCATATCCCAAAATAATTGACAGCCATAGTTAATTTATCCAGTGCCACCTAGAAGATTCAGGAGCTGTCACACATGAGCGCAATCTCGTCAGCATAGTCCAAGTCAAGAAGTCGATCAACTGGAGCTGCTACTTATGTTCTAAGTCGTGGTTGGCGAACGCCGTTTCCATGACTTCGTCAATGGCGAAGTTAAAGAGGAGAGGTGACAGCGTTCAACCTTGTTTCACACCACTAGATATTGAAGAGCGGCGAATGTTTGTCGTAAACGCTCACTCTGTCCGAACTATGCGCTTCTAGCGCTCTTATGAGCTCTACCTATTTCTCGGAGACACCTTTCCTCATTAGACAGGCCAACAGTGCACATCGATCAACCGAAGCAAAGGCACCCATGATTTCTAGGACCACAACTACGATGGCTCGCCAGTAAACATGGCGGTGCTTCAGAATTTGACGTAATGTGAAGATATGGTCAATGCAGCCTGAATTTTTACGAAAGCTAGCTTGAACCTAGCGCATCTGGCTTTCACGGATGACAGTCAGTTTCTGGAGGACGACAGAGGCAAGTAACTTAGAGGCAATGGAAATCAGACTAATTCCTCTATGATTGTCGCATTCTGAACGGGAACCTCTTTTGAAGATTGGGACTGTAACCGAGCGGATCCAGTCTGTTGGGACAGTCTCCTGTTCCCATGGATTCACCAGTAAGCTGTGTAAATCATCCAAAAGAGTAGGTCCCCGAATTTGACGGGGGCTGGATGAATTCCATCTGTTCCGTCGGCTTTGTGCAATTTTAGCCGTCTGATATTACGTTCGATTCCTGCGCATAAGGGCGGATCCAAGGGGATGACCCAGGGGGAAGGGCCATCATTGGCCAATTGAGAAGCTGGCAGTTCTGCTTGACTGAACTACTCCTCAGTGTTAGGGCCGAAAGCGCCAAGCGATTTGACAAGCTGTTGAACGGCTGTCCACTCTCGTCGCGTATGGTCTCGCCAACATCAGGTCTCCTGCGCCGAACAACCTCCCCGAGATACCAGCTGGGTGGTTCGGGTTAATCATCTTCCACCGAATGGTTCGGCCGCAGCGTTTCAAGACGTGGTGGGTTTCCTCTTGACAAGCGTTCTCCCTATAAAAACCACAACACTACAAAGTGGAGGAGATGATTCGCCACTAAATAAAGTCACTGATATCCACACTTCACGGACGCCAGTCATCCAATACAAAGTCACCCTTTCATCCTTTCTCAAGCAGACGGCCCGACAGAAGCCAGGCACAACTACGGCGACACGTCTACAAATTCAAGCAACAGCTCCGAGCATTCAAACTAACATACATACAAATATACACCACAGACCCTATATGCTACTGCTAACCTTGCAACCTTATTGTACATTTGCCAATCATTCGTGTTGGTATTGCTATGATCATGCCTATTCAGGCGTGCCTCGCTATGTCAAGAAAATACTAGTTAGTTATTTATGTAGCACTACACATTCATGTCACCACTGCCACGCGACTCAGAACGAGTGAGACCTTGCGCCCACCATAGAGGAAGTAATGTTAGACTCCGTAATAATGGGTGCACCGTTTGGCCGTAGGAGCATGCAATGCTGCTCTTCCGCTTCGTCTGTTACGAGGAATACATCAGTGGAAACAAGGATGAAACACATTATTGTGTCTTGGAGTATCAGCCGAGCGTCTGGATTGCGACACGCCATTTAGACTGAGGCTACAGTTTGCTTTGACGTAAAGCTATGAGATGTTGATCACTTGGACCGCAACT